CTCTTGCCGGCATAATATCCACTTCCTAACAACAGACTTGTGGGTGGCCTTGGGCAAAGGCAGCCTCCTATCATGGAGCTCGAAGTACAAGAATCGTGGAGCTCGAAGTACGCATGCATATTAAACTCGAAGTAGGCACTTCGTGCTTGACGTTTGCGCGTTTTTCAAGCCTTTACCAATTCGTGTTCGTAAGACGAGCGATATGTTCAGCCACGAAAAGTGGCGACGACTCGGCGACGTCTCCGTGCTAATCGGCTTGGTGGTCGGACGTGTCGCACGGAATGAATCCGAATAGTTCTGATCGGTGAAAAATTTCTCTTTCTAAGGAAGACAGATTTGGCGGTACCACGAATTACAGTTCTGAAGTAGAGGTCCCTCGCCCGTCGTCCGCCGTCACCGCCGTTCAGCCGGCGAGTCACGACGACATGTTGAGAATTACATAGGGAACGCAAAGAATGCTTCCAATTCTCTGTGCAACTTTTTTTCTTCAATCAGCGTATTTGAAGCTTTTTAAAAGCCACAACAGAATGGGTTTCATATTTTTTTTCTATTTTTAATATTGAGTGTGTGCCTTCGATGACCCAGGACTTTGATTAAATTTGGTGGTTGTGTCTAAACCTTAAAAAACGGCCCGTGACGACAGAAAAGAGAGTGAGCGCCACTCAAACCGGCCAGTTTTAAATCTGCGGCTTTCGGGAGGAAAGAAACCGAATTTCGAGCCGCAAATTCTGTTTTGGGTAGTTCGGATGTCATATGTCATGTACAACTAAAACCCTCGGCGAGCATAAATACCCTTTTAGTGTCTCTTTAAAGGGGGCGGGGGGGGGTGCAAAGATTTCTAGACTTCGGTCAAAACATTGTGGAAGCTGCCCTCTGACACTTCTTAAGTTAAAAGCAGAAAAACGATTTCGCCTGCGTGTCCTAGTTGTTGTTTAAAAAAAGAAGACAAATACTGGCATTTCTGGCACCCCTCAACTCACTCCCAGTCTTCAGGGTTACACCTGGTCCCCCTCCTAGGGACGTAATTCGGAGTGCCGTACAGCTTCCCGTATGCTCTTTTGGAGGACGCTTACTCTCCTTCAATCCGCTGACATTAGCGTGCGTTATGCTGGAGATTAAATCCGAGCGAGGTCACGTAAGCTTCTCGCCGTAGTTCCCTCGGATGCCACTCACAGCTGCCGGTGGGGGGGAAAAGCTCGACTTTTGCTTTGCGATTATGCAGCGGAATCACGACATTTCTTAATGAGGATATGTTTTCTCTATCCGTCGGGACACGATAAACAACGTGAGGAAAACGAGAGTATTCCACACTCAAATGTCAAATGCTCTTGCTTTCTGTGTTTTTTCTGATTAATCAAACTCAGCACCAGAAGCCTTTTAAGCTTACGGAGGGTACCAGACTTGAGTATACCACTTTGCCACTAAGAAGGGTGGGCAAAAATATCAATTTATACAGGTCTCTTGACTTGTTTCGTTCTTGAAACTGTTTTCGTATTTAGCTTACATTAGAGCCATAAAACCATATATTTTCGAGGTATCGAAAATATATGTTATTATGACTATAACTTCATAACACAGGCTGGTTTTATCATCTGCGTTTTCGCCACGACACACTATCGCCCGATGCGCGAGGGGTAAGTATAGCGCATTACTGCGGTTCCCACTAGGGATGTCGCGAACCACCCTAGGTTCGATTTCGAAAGGTTTCGATATTTGCGAAGCGAACTGAGGTTCGATTTCGAAAAATTTCGATATTTTCGTACCGACCGAGGTTTGATTTAAAAAAATTCGCAACTTTTGTCCACAGCGGAGTTTCGAATTCGAAAATTTCGAAGCTTTCACGGTTTCTAAAATTTCGAATTCGAATATTTCGATTATTTTTTTACTTCAGGTTCGATAAATCGAAGATTTCGAAATTCTTTGTAAAAAAAATCGAAAACTTCGAACGCTTCGAATTTTTATAGACATGAAGTTCAAACAATTCGAAGATTTCGAATTTTCTTTTGCATAAAGTTCGAAAAGGTCGAAGGTTTCGATTCTCTTTTAACGCTAAATTAAAAAAAAAGAAAAAAAAAAAAAAAAAAAACTTCGAAGATTTTGAATTACTTTCTTATCCAAGTTTTCAAAGTTCGAAGTCCGATTTTCAAGCTTTTCTACAGTTTCAGTTTCAAATAACGTTTTCACGACTCACTGGTTTTCACAAAATCAAGTTTAGAAAAGTTAGGGTGTGATATCTGGATTCCGCGAAGTTGGTCAGGCAATGAAATGAGACGACGAGTGTCCCGGACGTGCTAGAATATTTGCCAGTGCAGAATTGTGACCGCCAGCCCCGGGGGGGGGGTCTTTATCACGCAGTAGTGATTGCACGAACACACTGTTTTACGAGACTCATCCAGTTCGAAACGGCCAGGGGCGAGCAGGAGGTTGAGGCTCAGAAAAACCTTGAAGCGACCTGGCAAACTAGCTCGCCACCCCTTGCACGCTGGTAGTAATCCGATCCGGTGCTTATTTTAATCTGAAATTATTTATGCATATATATAGCTACTGTCGCTCTTCACTGCATAAAAGGTTGCGTAGATGGTCATTGTTAGAAACTCGTTGTCAGAAGGCACTGCACGTCACATGCTTAGTGGTTCGGAAGTTCAAAGCTGTCTTTTCGACCTAAACACCTGTGCCGATAGTAACAAAAGAAAAAAAAAAAAAAAAAGAATAAATGCGGGAATAAAAAGCAGGAGAAAAAAAAAACTATCAAGAATTCGTCGGAAGTGTTCTATTCTTGCATATTCAGAGGTTCAGAACTTCGAAACAAGTTTCTTTTACCAAAATGTGTACAGGCTAAAAGAAACACGTCCCAAAAACGTGAAGCGAAAAAAAACAACAACGTTTTTTTAAATGACGTGCTGAACTTGAACACAACTACAAATCTTCTGCCATGAGTTAATTTATTCCTTAACGTGAAAAAACAATAAATATATTATTTTGTATTCTGCAGATGGCAATGATATGTACTGTCTGTGGTGTTAATTTAAATGCGATACCTCAAACAACCTAGACGAAAATAAATATCAAGTTTAGGTCATAATTGCATGCAGATACATGTTTGGACATTTCTTCGAAACTCACGTTGAATAACAATAATCACATCTTAAGACGGCACTTACCTAGGCTATACATAGATCATTCTTAAAAAAAGTATAACATATCTACCATAAATAGCTCCGGCTGCAGCGTGCTTCAAATCTGGCACAAACGATAATCGTCAAAAACCGTCGTCCGTCCTCGCCCCTTCGGGGGTTTATTTCTTTAAACCTAAGCATACCAGAACATTGAAATAAATGACATTGTCTTTCGTAAGGAACGCAGCACCGCGCATAAAAGTTCGAGAAAAAAAAATTACGAATGTACCCCACTACTTGAAATTAAATGAAACCGTCCGCCGGTCTTTCGAAGTTCGACGGACGTCGAACTTTAACCCTAAAAGGTCGAAGTTCGTCGAACTTCTGACTTTTCAGAATTCGAAAGGTCGAAACTTTTCGATCCTCTTGATAAATAAGTTCGAAATTTCGAAATTCATCGAATTTTTTGGTCAGTCATGGTCGAAAGTTCGACAAGCATCGAACCTTGCAGCTCAATAAGTTCGAAAGTTCGAAAAAGATCGAATTTTTTAGCGTAATAAGTTCGACGGTTCGAAAATCGTCGAACTTCTTAGCTTAACAAGTTCGAAAATTCGACCTCCGTCGAATTTTACGATATAAACAATTCGAAAAATCGAAATCTTTCGAACCTTTCGAACCGCTTGATTCGATCATCGAAACTTCGATTCGAAAAAAGTTCGCGGCATCCCTAGTTCCCACGCGCTCTGACTTCCGATGAACCGGAGCCGGCGGCGTGAGTAACCACGAAAAAACGGGAAAGGAATGCCCAGTCTCTTATTGGCTGAGCGGAACGGCTCCTAGATAGCTATTGGCGGCCGCTTCACGAGAGCGCGCGCTCGGCCGCCGCTCTCGTGTCAGGTGTTGCCAGAGGAGGGAGAGGGGGTGGTGTATGCTAAGTCCGCTTGACGAGAGCGCGCGTTCGACCACCGGTCTCGCGTCAGGCGTTGCCGGAGGAGAGGGGGAGGGGGGAGGGTTACGCTGCGGCCGCTTCACGAGTGCGCGCGCTCGGCCACCGCTCTCGTGCCAGGCGTTGCCGGAGGGGAGAGAGAGAGAGGGGGGGGAGGGGGCGACGGCTGCTTTTGCTTGTCGGGGGCCGCAATCTCGGTAGTAGCGAAACGTGGCCGTCCCCACCTGTACACCGCAGACGAACTAAGGGAGTGGAAGAACGACGTTCGTGCTTTCGCATTCACAATTCATAAGACGTGCCTAGGTGACCTCGGAATTTTGTTCCAAGGTAGGCAATATTTGGAGTCCCAATCTGCTGTATCTGAAAAGACCTTGAATAAGTACTTCATACCGCTTTTTTAATGTAATCATTCATTGTTTTTTATTTACGCCAATCACCTTTTTAATGGGAACCATATACTTTTTACACCATGTAATGTGTTAAATTACAACGTGTAGTTAATTATCCGGCTCGTAGTGACAATTAGGCCCCTATAATATGGCCCCTGGACCCCATAACTCACATGCACAGGCCGCATTAAGGAGGCTCTCAAGTACTTTGATGACAATTTTTAAAACATTCCGCTCAAAACTGTGTCATTCCGATATTCTTTATCTTTGGGTCAGTTTTATTTTTGCACTGATTTTAGACACCTGCAAACCTAAAACCTACGCCTCCTCCGACCAGTTTTCTTTAGATCAAATAGCTTTTCCTTTCCCTCTAGATGTATGTCTCCAAACATATCTTGAAGAATTCATGATCAGTCCACGATCGCTTCCGTTTTGACATGTTGCTGCAATGGTCTTTTTACTTGTAGGTTGCTTCAGTAAGAATTGCTGTCTTGTATTGGTGTGTCTAATGGTGAGTACATGATTATATAATGACGTATAATCAGATACTTGCGAATAAATATATATGCAGCTTTAATTTGTTAAAATATCACCATACAAAGAAGATGCTTAGAGTGGTCTGGCAAGCGTACAGCACTGTGTTCTTGCCTTGCTTGGTCCCGTGTGCCTTAGGAATGAGAAGGCTGTAGCTTGATTGCAAGCATACACCATAAGCAAATGCATAATGTATAGGAGTAAACTGGATAGCGACGTTCACCGTTGTAATCTCCGCTGGTGACGCGAGCCTAATAAACAAAGCTTTATATTATACCGTGCTTCTCCCAGACATCCGAAAACTCTGTCCCTTGTAGCTTCTGCACAATCATCAAGTTTAACCTGTCGTTCATCTCCGGCGTCAGGTGGGTTTTGTAGTCCCCGACAATTCCCTTGCGAACAAGCTTAGCCTCGCTGGGTGTCTCTTGGGAAACCTTGTGGAATAGCCTCAATCCCTCCGGAACATCTTCCTCAGCTGCACTGAGTGGGTTGGTGAAGAACTTCCCCAAGGAGTCATTGGTGTACTCTTTCATGGCAGACACATCGCTGTGCTTAAGAACGTTCTCGAGGTACGCTGTGTCGTCCAGCAATTCATGGTAGTAATTCTCACCTATAAACTTAGCGATCTTCAGCACCTCTGTGCGTGGGTCCTTCTTAATATCCTCGTAGTGCAAGAAGAGAACGTTAGGATCATTGCGATGCTCGTACCAGGAGAGAATATGCTCGAAGTAGTCTCCAAAATCGGTCTCCCCGTTGCAGAAAAGATCAAAGAACACTTCGAATGTTCCGTTGGTGAACTCATAGCCCGAGAAACCTTTCGTGTGGTGATAAAAGGATGTGACGCAGTCTTTTGGATTGCGGCAGATATATATGTACTTGGCATCCTTCGAGTAGGGTATCATCGAAAAAGGCAGGTGGGACTTGATAGCTCCCGGTCGGTTCATGGTGTGGGCAGAATCGGCCCCCAGCATTTCGATGAAGGGACTGTTCTTGAGAAAATCTAGACCGCTCTTGGGTTTCTCTCCCCTGCTGAAAATGAGGTACACGATGTGCTGAACCCACGTGGTTCCGCATTTGGGGTACGTCACAATGAACACGTCCTCAGGAGTCGGCTTGTAGTTGAGAGCAGACTTGAGCAGATCGCCATCAAAGGCAGTCGACAAGCGGTAGCCATCGAAGTCCAGGTATCGAGGGCGTACGTTAGGGTCTCCCATTATCTTCAGTCTCCTGCGGAAAGAAGAAAAATTTGTGTGATATGAGACAGCAGTCTTACAAGTTTATACGAATGTCAAAGCCTAGAAACTCAAAGGTGTGGTCCATGTCTCAGAGACACAACTTGTGAGATTTCATTTTGTATCTCAGCTAATTGTAAGTACCAAGTGAGTACCAAGCGCTAACAGCTAGGACCAAGCTAGTTATGAAGACCAATAAAAACATTTCACAAATAAGCGTTAAAAAACACGACAAGCTCACAAAGAGGAAAACTGGCTCACGAGGCTGAAAAACGGTACATCAGTCACAATTCACATTTATCTGCGGGTTTCATTTTTTTTTCTCTTTTTTAGCGACAAATGTGTTTCCTTGTTGCATTTTATTTGCAATAAAAATAATGAAGAGTCCAGCCGTTTCGGTCGGGTAGCCATTGAAAATTAACGCTTTAGTTAAAGCTAAGCTGTAACTGTTCCGGAACTATCCATCGGAGGCTAGTGAAGCAAGAAAAAGTACCAAACGCGCAATTCCGTGTTGTGTTTATCTTCTTTTTCCAGTCTACTAGCTTTTTAAAATATTATTTGTTATCATTTTGCTTTATTTTAAGAGCTATTCCGGATTGCGAAGATCTTTCTTTGAAGCACTTCAATATATCTGAACAAGAAATACACAATATAAAGCCGGCAGAAATATAAATGCTAACGTATACAACGATAATTCAACGAAATTATGTCAAACTTTAATAAAAACGACAATAAACGAATAATGAGTAAAACAGTCATCCACGTTGCAGTGTTGAGTTAAAACAAAAACAGAAATATCTGGGGGACGATTATACGGTGTGATGAGTTTAGATAGTGGTCGCTTTTTTTTTTTTTGTTTATTGTCATTTACGTTTACGCCGTCTCCAAATTTTTCCGCCTAATTTAGCGGGAAACTGAATAGGTGCATAGGCCACGTGACGTCAATTAGTCCTCTAAATTTAGCGGGGAAACTGAAGTGGTACACAGGTCGCGTGGCATAATTTTTTCCGCTACATTTAGTGGGAAACCTGAATTTTGTCTGTAGGGCCCGTGACGTCTGATCACGTGTCATCAAATTTTCCGCCAAATTTAGCGGGGAAACTGAATTTGTGTATAGGTGATGTTTCGTAAATATGTTACGCTAAATTTAGCGGAGAAACTCACTTCGTGGATAGGTCACCTAATGTAAATTTTCCGCTAAATTTTGCGGCCAAACTAAATTCGTTTACGCTCACGCCGTCACGAAACCGGGGGGACGGGTCCGTAACAGCTGCCGTTGTAAAACAGTTGACAGGCCATACTTTCAGTATGCAAAGTAAAACAAGAGAATGGTTCTCCAAATAATCTTTCTTTAGCACTTTCCTCCTTCATTATCTTGGGCGTACTCGAAATAGAAAAATTATGATTTAAAATTGCACCGAAAACGGAAATGGTGACCCGAACTTTTGACGCCCAAGTGAGGGTCAAATATAACGCGTTTTATGAGTGTTTTTTTTTTTTTGTTTCCTTTGTACGGTGCCCTTTATTATTTTTTTTTTCAAGTTTGTGTGGTACATTAGACTCTTTAAAAATCAGCGAATATATTTTATGGCTTCTTAAGCAGTTTTTTTTTTAATTTGCAAGCTTGCATGTGAGAAAATAAACGATACCGGGTATTTCGAAACATATTATCTCAAAATGCGTCGCCCATGGTTCATCCTTCGCCCAACGTCGAAAGCATATTTCGACTTCGGGCGAAGCAAAATTCTTAAGTTAATACGTTAGGTAATTTAGGGGTTCGTAAGATTTTAAAAATAATTTTAATCGGGAAATGACACCCACTTGGTTGATCAAAACAGCCGAGGCGATTTGCGTCTGCCGTCAACATAGGACACGCTGTTTTTTTGTTTTTTTTTTAATTAAAATGTTAGAAAACCGTGTATACTTTGGTATTCAATGACGTTAGATCCAGCGACCCTAAACCCTATCGAAGCTTCGTTCATCTAAACACTTTTCTTATTGAACCAAATGACGTGACTTTCTTCGGAATACGTGAAACCAAAAAGGATCAATTACGACTCAATAGGAATGCAGCGCGCCTTCTTCCGTTAATTTCGTTTTTTTTTTTATAAACGTGATGGAATGTGAAATTGTTAAGTAGTAGCCAAGAACGCGTTAGTTACCTCTCCTTCTGTATGCCTAGTGTAAATGAAATGCATGTTTCAAAAATAAAAAAAAAAAATTCGAAAATCAATCTGGCATCTGTATTTTTTGGGGGCCATTAAAATGTTGATATTGTAACGACAACTGTCTCAGTCTAATAGATGACATGGAACAAGCTGATATTCTTATATATACCGAGGTTAAAGTATACTTCTGAGCGGTTCCGTTAGGATTAAGGCAGTCGGGTACATTCTCATTTTTTTATTTCCCATATTTTTATTTGATTTTGCGTATGCCTAGTGGAAAGCAGTGACTTATATAAAAAGTCCAGACATATTTAGTGCTAAGGAAATACAATCCCAAAGCACCCGGGAAGGACAACGAGGTTTTGACAATGGTCGTCGATCCAACTTGATCCAACTAGAAACGACAGATCCTTGATACTTCTTTATTAGTGTAATCTATGTACATACACTTTAGCAAGACAGCATTTAGTCTTATGTTGTATATTTGTAGTATCTAATGTCCCTAAAATTACCACTCGGGTCTCTGCAAACAAGTTTGCACAAAAACTTAAGATGTTTCTCTAAGCAGAGTTTTCAGATGAGGACATCCAATTTAATGCCACGAACAATACATGTGATTGCCTTTCGAACAATAAAACATTTGTTAATATTGTTCTATTGTTTGTTTATAGAGATAAATAAATTACGTTATATGATTGGTTTCCAAATTTTCATATTAAGCGGGGTTTTCTTAAAAAAATAATGCCATTTTAATTTCTCTTTTTTGCTATTTCTTACTAGCGGAAAACAAACAGCGCAGGCACAGAGTAGAAGGCGGTAGACACACACAGTGCTGACTTACAACTGAGCTTTATTGGCACTGACAACCTGTATAAATACACAATTTGCCCGGCCCAAAAGCAAAAAAAAAAAAAAAAAAATGAAACAACACAAGAGGAGGACTACACGTGTTCCTAGAGTCATCAGCACGCGCCGTTGTTCTCCGATCTGAGTAGAAAAATACACTCCTTTTCGTCAAGGCAAGTGACAGGGCACTAACACACTCAGAGTCCGATTGTCCAATGGCGCGTGCTTCTATAATCTCACATGTCAGCTTATTTTTTTTTTCTCATGACCGTGCATTGTTCAAAAAACGGAGTACATCCGCAATCGCGGCAATACACCCGAAGGTGCCCTGACACAACCTGAGACACATTATGACGATGCTTTTCTTAAACGCTCAAGACAACGTCCTGTCTGCCCTATGTATCTCCGGCCACAGGACAGGGGAATAGAGAATACAACACCCGCAACGCATGTAACAAACTGGTTTTGGTGTTTCTTGGTGCACACCTGTCTCTCTATTACATGAGAATTCACTTTTTTGCACAACATAGATAACTTGTCTGGAGCCGAAAAGACTACGTGAACACCAGCTCGACGTCCCACTTTCTTCAGATTATGGGATATTTTGTGTAGGTCCGGTAGTACTGTGATGTTCCTGTTTTTCCTGTTAACTTGTTCAGCATTTTCAATGCGTCTTCTCTTTAGTAGAGTCTCTGCGACTGCCATTAGGAGGCGCAACGGGTAGACACACCAAAACCAGTTTGTTACATGCGTTGCGGGTGTTGTATACTCTATTCCCCTGTCCTGTGGCCGGAGATACATAGGGCAGACAGGACGTTGTCTTAATGAGCGTTTAAGAAAGCATCGTTAAAATGTGTCTCAGGTTGTGTCGGGGCACCTTGGGGTGCATTGCCGCGATTGCGGATGTACTCCGTTTTTTGAACGATGCACGGTCATCAGAAAACAAAAGAGAGCCGTTTACAATTCCCTGTAACGCCGGTTAGAGCGCAGCTCTTGAAGAGGAAGATGGAAGCGTACTGAGGGATAGGTGACTCCTTAAGGTCACGTGACCTCAAGGGGGTCACGTGACTTCAGGGGGTCACGTGACCTAAGGGGTCAGGTGATCTCAGGGGTCCACGTGACCTCATGGGGTCACATGACCTTAGGGGGTCACGTGACCTCAGGGGGTCACGTGACTTTTGGGGGTCACGTGACCTCAGGGGGTCACGTGACCTAGGGGTGTCACGTGAGCTAAGCGGGCCACGTGACCTAGGGGTGTCACGTGACCTGGGTGGGTCACGTGACCTGAGGGGGTCACGTGACTTCTGGGGGTCACGTGACCTCAGGGGGCCACGTGACCTAGGGGTGTCACGTGACCTGGGCGGGTCACCGGACCTCGGGGGGTCACGTGACCTCGCGGTTACGCCGACGGCGACGGCGACGCCGACGCCGCTCAAGCCGGAAACGGGCCCCTAAGAGCTGCGCTCTAAAAAGATAAGCTGACACGTGAGATTATAGAAGCACGCGCCATTGGACAATCGGGCTCTGAGTGTGTTAGTGCCCCGTCACTTGCCTTGACGGAAAAGGAGTGTATTTTAGAGCGCAGCTCTTAGGGGCCCGTTTCCGGCTTGAGCGGCGTCGCCGTCGGCGTCGGCGTCGCCGTCGGCGTAACCGCGCGGTGCATCATGGGAAATGTCTCATAATGCACCGCGCGAGCCCCCCACCGGGGTCACGTGACCTCGTGGGGGGTCACGTGACCCCCCGAGGTCACGTGACCCCCCGAAGTCACGTGACTCCCCTGAGGTCACGTGACCCCCTCCTCGAGGTCACGTGACCCCCTCCTTGAGGTCACGTGACCCCCGCCGATGTCGCGTGACCCCCCGATGACGTCATCGTCACTGATGACGTCACCGGCATCCACATCGTCATCGTCATCATCACTGATGACGTCACCGGCATCCACATCGTCATCGTCATCATCACTGATGACGTCACCGGCATC